GATAAGTTACAAATATGTACATATACATGAATCAAAATAAACAAACAAGAGGGAGCCTTCACAAAGGTTGCTCAGGAGAAATCTCAACAGTCGGCAAAGCCCCAAGAAGAGGAGGCACCGGAGGATGATCATTCGGAGCCTCAGTACTGGGCAGAACCTCAGAAGGAGAAGGCACCGAAGGTTGATCATTTGGAACTTCAGTACACGGTACAACGCCAGAAGATGAAGGCAATAAATGCCTTTGGAACAAACCCACAAACCTCTGATGATCAAGCAAAATTTGACCATCAGATTCTTGCAGTTGATCAAGCAAAATTTGACCATCAGATTCCTGCAGCTGATCAAGCTTCCTCTTCATGTTTGTAGCATAGTCATATGCAAGCCTATGCAACTGTTTATTATCATGCTTGGGCCCTCTGATCTTCTGTTTGAGACTTATCACTTCAGCCGCCAATGATTCAACTTGGCTGGTTCAAGCAAATAGGCGTTGGGCGATATTAGACACAGAACCTGCACACTGAACACTAAGAGCCAGAAAATCCTTAACAACCAACTCATCAAACTGTTTGGACAGTAGTCTGTTATCTTTGGGAGTGAGAAGGTTCCTGGCCACCATCGCAGCGGTCATATCATTCTTTATCACAGAGTCCCCAACAGTAAGAGGACCAGTAGGGGATGAGAAGGATGTGTGCCATATGTTGTCTTGAGAAGACATGGCTGCCTCTTCACCAAAGTTCAAGTCAAAACGACGGTCGAATGGGCCAGACATTTTCAGAAATGATGAAGGATAAATGAGGTCCAATAAATCTCTGAAGTACAAAAACAAGGGAAAAATTCCTACAAGCAATAACTCTCTGAACGTACTTCTTACACACAATTGGTGCCCCTATAAAAGAAAGGGTGATGCGAAATATATAAGCACATAAATTAAACCCTCTTTTTATCAATTGTAGCAAAGTATGTAAGTAGGGATCGTTCTAGGCCGGGGATTAGGAGGGATTGCTAAATCATTTGAAAACTGACTCAAAACGTAAAAACAAAGTTTAAAACACTAAACTAGACTCAAAGAATGCAAAACTAAACTCTAAAACACTAAAACAAACCAAAAGACTCAAAACAGCACAGAAACACTCCAAACTGCCTTAAAAACACAATCTGGGCAGTTTTGAACACCAAACACAAATTTGGACGAAAATAGGTTAGAACTTGACTCAAGACACTTAAAAACACAAACTAAATTGATTTCTAACTAATATAACACTTCAAAATAAATGGGGATTTGGTTTTGACGAAATTGAAAACAAAACAAAAACTTGTAATTAAAACAGATTTTAAATGAATTTGGTTAAAGTGAATGGATAGAAAGCTAGCTAAGGGGTTCTTCTCCACACATGTCACACTTGCATACAAAACGATTTCAAATTGCTTTTCAATAACCCATGAATTCTCAACACCCCAAGATACGCTTAAATTAACTTTCAGATTTCCCTTAAGTCAATGAATTGGATGGAAAAATCTCATCGCAATCAAATTATTCCTCAAAAGCTCCCTACATGAAAGCGTATAATAGAGATATAATCAAAGATCATTACGTTCAATGGAAATCATAAGCATTGACGAGGCACTCGTAACTATGAAAGCGCATGAAACTTATGCCAAGAATTTACTTAACACGATTGTGATCAACAACCTTTACTACTTGCGAATATAAGTTCATAACGATTAGGTGAAACTCCCTTATATCCTAGCATTAGATTTATGCATGAAAATTAAGCGTGCACTCTCAACCAACACACACAAATCAGTTTAATTCAAATAGATAAGCAAATTGAATCTACAACTTATGAAATGCAATTGAAAGTAATCAAATCATATAGCAAGCATAAACATGGTTTCGAATCCCCCCCTAGCCAAGGGGGGTTCAGTTCCTCATACGCACAAAGCAAAGATAAATAAGTTTAGACATTGAAATCCAAAGAAAGAGAACACCTAGACACTCCAACTTGGACAGTAGGTGCATCCACGAAGTTCCTCCTTCCTCCTTGCTGCAGCACAAACTTATGGACAGGTTCTTGGGGTTATGAATTGTGTAGAATGGATGGGGGTAGTATGGTGGTGTTTAGGATGGATGGGTGGTGCGGCAAGGGGTGGTTTTCGGCAGGAATTATGGAGAATGGTGGTGGAAGGCTGCGGCAGAGAGTGGCTTCTTGTTTCTGGCGTGAATAATCTGAATGAGAGGTGGTAATTCGGCCAAGGGGTGAATGAGAGTATATATAGGCACTTAAAACCCTAGGAAAATTAGATATGGACTTGTAAAATCCAAATCCACAAGGAAAAAGGCTTAACAATTATAATCCACAAGGGAAAAGGTCCACAAGGTGCGGCAGGTTTGGATAGGGCAGGATAAGGCTTCTAGAAAGCCTTGCAAGGCAAGGAAAATAGGTCTTCTAGAAGGGATAGGCACGGCAAGGATGTGTGTGCATGGATAAAGCTTCTAGAAACAAGGAATGCACGACAATGAGGGTTTCCTTGCTGAAATTGGTGTGAATCTTTCTAGAATAAGGATTAAGGTGTCCTAAAGTGTTTAGGACTCCTCTTTGTAGCTAAAACTCAAGGCCAATTAGGTTTAACTTTCCTACTTCAAGTAGGAAACCTTGATTGAGTAGGAAACTTCATTCTTCTAGGAATCCCACATCAACTAGGAATCCTTTGTTGACTAGGATTTCGTCCAATTAGGCACTTTCCTACTTCAACTAGGAAACCTTGTTCAAGTAGGAATCAACATCTTCAAATCTTCAATTTCGTCCATTCCCTTGGCTCCAAGTATGTGACATCCACTCCAAGCTCCATTTTGCTCCAAAAGGCTCCAAAATGCATCTTTTTGTATACTTTGCCCTAAAAACCTGAAAACACACAAAAATGGCTTAAAAGACTACTTTAACTAAGAAAACACCATGGAAATGCATAAGAACTAGCTAACTAAGGCGCATAAATATGCTCCTATCAAATTCCCCCACACTTAGCTTTTGCTAGTTCTCGAGCAAAACAAAGAAACAAAAGAAAAACAAAATGAAACAAAACAAACAAACAAAACCTAACCCTTCCAACGTTTCCTCAGGAATTTCCAATGCACATGACATATTAAAAATCATCATTCCCACAGATTTTAGTCATCTTCACATTTAAGCACATACTTAATCATAGTCACTACTTACTAGTTCACATTTAACCAATTAAAACGATGTTTTGAATGTAGTAACATGCCTTAGAGAATTTGCTCAATTCCTTACAAGATATGCACTCAATTTTCTCAGATTTTCTAACTACACACCCTATACTAGTTATATGTGAGAAGATTGATGTAAACATGAAAACGAACGCTCACATATATGTATAACAAAGAAAGCAATTTCTAGAGTTAATAAGCGTGTTTAGATATGATCTCATGAATGGAATGCTACTACTTAAATGCGAGAACCAGTGACACCATATGCTCATACCAATTTTAAACTCCACAAATTGAAACACATAACACTCAAGATAGAAGTCAAAGGTTGTAACAGGGCTTGGTGTATTGGCTAACAAAGAAAGATAGAGATAACACACGTTCTTAAAGCGATAGCTAGCAAAGTAATGAAATTGGAACTTAGAATTCACTTTAGAATGCAGAAATCAACTTTTAAACATAAAAGGAAGATTCATGCATACTTAGGGCCGAATTCAATGTTTTGGACCCTTTCTTCAACAATCAATACTTAAGAGATCTTTTCACATCTTTTTTCACTCTTTTTCATACTTTTCACACTTTCCTTTTCTTCTTTGTATTTTCCACGAATTTTTTTTTTCCTCTTTTCTACTCATGCCACATTAAAGACTTTGGCAAACACATACATCCCTTCCCCCACACTTGTTTTCTGCAATACATTAATCAAAAGGAATTCATCTTGAGTTATGCTTTACTATGCTTCAAGAACAAGGGTATGGATGGTCCTAATCTAGGCTAGGTGAGGATAGTGTGGGTTAACAAAGAATATAGGCTAAACAAGGCTCAACGGGGTTAAAACCTACAAAACAAATGAACATGGGGGACATGGCAATTTGGCTTAAATGGTGGTCACTACACAACTTCATCTTGAATATGTGTTATGCAAATCAATAGCATGCTTTGAATGAAATGGGCATGAGTTCTAGTGTTTGGAACTAAATGATGAAACGCCTTCTAAGTAGTAACCAAGCAAAGAATAATGAGATCATGCAACGACTTTAGAAAACAACAATGCACAAATTATTAACTCTCCAAATAAATGTTTAGGCTCAAGTCTCACAAGGTTGTAGCGTTAGTTTGAGTTCCTTCCTTCAAGCATGTTACAAAAACTAATTTTTTTTCCTTTATGATTACGTGTGAATTCATAGGTTATAACCACAACCAAGCATAAACCAAAGAGTAAATCAAACTTTCATCCATGTTTATAACTCTCTTTAACAGTCATGCAATTAAAAAACCGAATCCTCATCATTGTGTTGGAAGGTACACTAAAACACAAACAAAATACACAAAAACAAATCAAAACAACTCTTTTTGGTTTTTTTTCAAAACAATTTTTTCAAACTTTTATGGGATTTTCGAATTTTTATGTAGAACACACTAAAATGCATCAAAACAGCTTAAAAACCACTTAAAAATAGCAAGGAACAACATTGGAAGTTATGGGTGATAAAACCCTACGAATTTGCATTAAAACACTTTGGTTACCCCCCCCCCACATTTAAATCAAACATTGTCCTCAATGTTTCAAGCATAAACTAACACAAATAACAAACCAATAAACAAACAGCAACTAACACACTAAACATGGCATAACGAAACAATCAACAAAGAGAAGGGTTTAGGAACGCAAATATGCAATTGGAGTGATTTCTTGGTCTTCCTTTGTTGAATACATGGGTTGCCTCCCAAGAAGCACTTTCTTTAATGTCGTGCAGCCGGACGAAGAACTCATTCACTCCTCATTGGAGCCCACAGCATGCAGGGGGATGTCATCCACGACATGCTCCACAAAGTTGTCATAGTATGGCTTCAATCGGTGCCCATTCACCTTGAATTCTTGTCCAGTTTTCATGCTTTGGATTTGGACTGCACCATGCACAAAAACATTAGTAATAACAAACGGATCAACCCACTTGGAATGTAACTTACCAGGAAACAACTGAAGGCGGGAATTAAAGAGTAAAACTTTCTGCCCGATTGAGAATGATTTACCACGAATCATCTTGTCATGAAAAGCCTTGGTCTTCTCCTTGTAAATCCGAGCATTCTCATATGCTTCATATCTAATCTCGTCAAGTTCATTCAATTGGAGCTTCCTATGTATTCCAGCGGCATCAATATCCATGTTAAAGGTCTTGACCGCCCAATATACCTTGTGCTCAAGCTCCACGGGCAGATGGCATGGCTTACCATAGATAAGCCGAAAAGGTGACATGCCAAGAGGAGTTTTGTAGGCCGTTCGATAAGCCCACAATGCATCGTCCAAGCGCATGCTCCAATCCTTTCTTGTTGGACCCACGGTCTTCTCTAGGATTTGCTTGATCTCTCGATTAGAAACCTTGGCTTGGCCATTGGTTTGAGGATGGTAAGGTGTAGAAACCTTATGGGTGACATTGTACTTCCTCAACAACGCCTCAATGGTGTGGTTACAAAAATGGGAGCCTCCATCACTAATTAGAACTCGAGGCATTCCAAACCTAGCAAAAATGTTAGTTTTCACGAAATCTGCAACCACCTTGGAATCGTTAGTACGGGTGGCTTTTGCTTCCACCCATTTCGAGACATAATCCACAGCGAGTAATATGTAAAGGAAACCATGCGATAAGGGAAAAGGACCCATAAAATCGATGCCCCAAATATCAAAAATTTCAACAAGAAGTATGACATTTTGCGGCATTTGATCCTTTGCCCTTATATTACCCATTCTTTGGCAACGATCACAAGACATGTAAAAGGTTCTAGCATCTTTAAATAAAGTTGGCCAATAAAAACCACATTCTAAAACCTTAAGGGCAATGCGTTGTGTCCCAAAGTGTCCCTCACATGCATAAGTGTGACAGAAAGTTAAAATTGAATTAAACTTCATATCATGCACACACTTACGTACAATCTGATCCGACCAATATTTCCACAAGTATGGATCATCCCAAACATAGAATTTAGCATCCTTTTTCAATTTATCACGTTGGTTTCTGTTTAGGGTGTTTGGAACTTGTTTTGACACCAAAAAATTTACCAAATCGGCATACCAAGGCTCACTTACCTTTATGGACAACAATTGTTCATCGGGGAATATCTCGGCAATAGGGAGGGACTCCTCATTATGCACCATTCGGCTTAGGTAGTCAGCCACCACGTTTTCACTTCCCTTCTTGTCATGAATCTTAATGTCGAACTCTTGAAGTAGCAATATCCAACGAATTAGCCGTGGCTTGGCTTCATTTTTAGTGAGCAAGTACTTCAAAGCTGCATGGTCAGGGAAAACAATTACTTTAGTACCAATTAGATATGATCTAAACTTATCTAAAGCAAAAACAACGGCAAAAAGTTCTTTTTCCGTAGTGGAATAGTTCAATTGGGCATCATTCAACGTCCGTGAGGCATAGTAGATGACATGCGGCCTCTTGTCCTTCCTTTGTCCTAAAACAGATCCTAAAGTGTAATCGGATGCATCACACATAAGCTCGAAAGGTAGGCTCCAATCCGGTGGGACAATGATTGGTGCCGTGGTCAACAACTCCTTGAGTTGGTTGAATGATGTCGTGCATTCCTCATTAAAATCAAACGCCACATCTTTTTGTAGGAGTCAGCAAAGAGGTTGGGCAACCTTTGAGAAGTCTTTGATGAACCTACGATAGAAACCTGCATGGCCAAGAAAAGAACGAACCTCTCTCTCAAGCATTTGGTCAATGAACGGCAATGGGAAGTGATCCTTCCTTGTAGTGGCGTTTAACTTTCTATAGTCGATACACACCCTCTAACCAGTTTGAATGCAAGTGGGCACAAGTTCATTCTCGGCATTTGCTACCACCGTCACTCTGGATTTCTTCGAAACGCATTGAACGGGCGAAACCCACCTACTATCTGAGATTGGATAGATAACTCCACAATCTAAAAGCTGGATGATTTCTTTCTTCACACCTTCCATCATAGGAGGGTTGAGTCGGCGTTGAGCCTCTCGAGATGTTTTAGACCCCTCCTCCAAAAGTATGCGATGCATGCAAGTTGTGGGGCTAATTCCTTTGATGTCGGCCAACGTCTACCCAATTGCTGTTTTGTACTCCTGTAACACCCTCACTAACTTACCTTCTTCTTGTGCCGTGAGTGAGCATGAAATAATGACGGGCAATGTTTCATCTTCTCCCAAGAAAATGTACTTTAAATGACTAGGCAATGGCTTAAGTTCAAGTGTAGGTGGCTGCACAACTGAGGGAAGCATCTTTTAGCCGAAACTGAACTTAAAATAGGGTCCAAAAACTTACCGGATTATGGTGGCAATGACTCAAGGGCAGCCATCATCTCAATGACACCATCACTAGGGGGCACGGCAAAGGAGTTTCCATGCATGCCGTGGGTTCCAATGTTTGCTGCTTCAACGTTTTGCTTGTCCATTCCTCGTGCAATGACCAATTTAAGTGCATCGTCGTTCAATTTGTCAAAATGGTCCTGCGCCAAAGAGTCAATTACATCAATAGCAAAACATGAATGATTCTCACTAGGATACTTTATAGAATCAGAAAGATTGAAATTAATGACTTCCCCATCAAATTCCATTGTCAAAGTGCCATTAAACACATCAATCTTTGTACGAGCAGTTTTCATGAATGGCCTTCCAAGGAGGATGGGCAATGAAGGGGCTTGGTCTGACTTATCCATCTCAAGCACGTAGAAATCCGCCGGAAAGATCAAATGATTAACCTGCACTAAAACATCTTCCAAAACTCCCTTTGGATAGGCATTAGATCTATCGGCTAATTGTATAATCACACCATCATTTTTCAACTCTCCTAGGTTCATAGATGCATAAATTGAATATGGCATGACCTTTATAGATGCACCTAAGTCTAACATGGAAGATTCAAACCTAGTATTACTAATGACACAAGGAATTGTAAAACTACCCGGATCTTTGCATTTAGGGGGCAGTTTGCGTTGCAAGATGGCTGAGACGTTTTCACCTACTTTTACAACCTCCTTGGTCAAAATCCTCTTCCTAGTGGTGCAAAGTTCCTTCAAAAACTTGGCATACCTCGAGATTTGCTTAATTGCATCCAAAAGGGGGATATTGACTTGAACTTTTCTAAACGTTTCCAAGATGTCCTTTTCAGCCTCCTCATTCTTTGATTGCATGAACCTACGAGGAAAGGGTACATTTGGAGGCATAACGTTAGAATTAATCATATTTGGAACTTCCTTACCTGATTTGGACAAATTTGATGGTTTAGGAGCCATGGGGGCTTGCGGCAAAGAAAGTTCCTCCCTTGCCGTGGGCATGCTTTGCTCCTCCTCTTCAATTATTAAATCTTCCACCTCGTTTGGGGCTGATTTAGATGGTTGGGGGGCTGTTCCCACTTGTTTCCCACTTCGCAACATGATTGCCTTGGCGGATTCGAATCCTCCTTTTGGGTTGACAACGGTTGAACTAGGCAACTTACCTTGCTCTCGGAATTGGCCCACAAACTCCGCAATCTGCCCTACTTGCTTCTCCAACTCGTCCACCCTTTTGTCCTTAATTTGCATACTTTGCACCATAGAAGTTAGTAATTGAAAAATCTGATCATTATCAATAGACGAACCTGATTTGTTTTGGGCGGGTTGTGTTGGAAATGTGCCCTAAAGCCAATCATATGATGATACTTTACGGACATTTCACATGTTAAACTAATCTAAGCTTAATATCAAGGGCAAAGATTATTGTTTGAGCCGTCTCATATAAATGTTATATGCTTAAACGATAAAGTCCAAGGAATATGTGATTGGGAGATATGATATAAAGAAGTTAGATTCATGAGACCATTCTTTCGTAGACAGATCCTAAACGTTCCTGATCATAGGATTGCCAATTGGGCATTGACAGTCCGTTAAGATTAGTACGTACTGTGTCTTCTCTCAGGGAGAGTGACTAGTCTCGAGTCATTGGTGTGTGTGACGTCAAGTCAAGTACGTAGGTGCTCAATAGAGAATGAGTTCACTGAACACGATCAACGAAGAGTTCTCATATTCATGTCACATGAGAACTCATGGTTGGGATAATGCAAAGTAGTCCTTTGACCTGAGGCATCACAGTTGTCTTGTGGTTAAGTACTTGATCTTTGATTATGTCAAAGTCACCCCATCGGGGTGTCCACGGCATCATTGGGGTTAAGCCACTTAGTCATGGAGACAAGTGAATGCGCAACAAGGGATCTCTAACCTTCAAACCGTTGGGGGAGAATACTCTATGATATGATTTAGAATCTTTGGCCAGAGTATGAATGAGATTTAGAAAAGTCGTTCTAAATCACATTCAAGGTAATCATATAAGCACACGAATCACATTGGATAGTAGACATGAATAAATAAACTATCAAACCAAACAATGTGGTCAAGAGTATTGTATTAGAGAAAGACCGTATGCATTTGTAATCTCAAACTGAATAGGTTCTTCACCTCTTCTGATTAGCTTGGGTAACCATGATATGCTGCTAGGTGTCACTCATGGTTTGTGGAAGCCCTAAACGTGTGTAAACACTAAAGGGAGAATTGAAAGTAAGTTTCAATTCACAATCGATTTGAAAGAGTTCTAATCGCCCACTGCCTCGCTAAAAGGAACCTAATGGATCGTACACCGTGTAAGGTGGAGATTGAAGAAACAATGGAGATGAGTAAGAATGATTAAATGGTTTAATTATTTATTTATGGCAAGGATTAATTAATATGTTAATTAGTCAAACGAATAAAGTTCGTTAAAAGACCACGGGTTAGTTTTGGGCCTCAAGGCCCAATGGGCTTCGAACGTCAAGTCCATTGACTTAAGTTGTATGACAACTTAATTCACAAAGGCCCAAAAGCCCAAACAAAACCCCATGGCCGGCCATTTAGAGGAAGGGTAGTGAACTTGCTTTAATTACAAGTTTGCCACTCAAATGAATAAAGGTATAAATATGACTTTATAGCCAAAATTCATTTAAGGGTTTCTTTTGGAGAAAATTGGTGAGAACTTGTCTCTCCATTTCTCTCTAAAGAGGCCGGACCCTTGGAGGGTGTATCTAGCCATACTACTACTCCAAGGTCACTCATTTTCTTCTCCAATCTCTCCTTGGTGTGGAGACTTAGAGGTTCTCAATTTTGGGAACTTGGAGAAAC